CCTGACTTTTTAATGATTGCCATTCTAACTGGTGTGAGATGGTATCTCATTGTGGTTTTGATTTGCATTTCTCTGATGGCTAGTGATGATGAACTTTTTTTCATGTGTCTGTTGGCTGCATAAATGTCTTCTTTTGAGAAGTGTCTGTTCATAAACTTTGCCCACTTTCTGATGGGGTTGTTTGGTTTTTTCTTATAAAAAAATAAGGAATGCTTCACAAATTTGCGTGCCATCTTTGCATAGGGGCCATGCTAATCTTCTCTGTATTGTTCCAATTTTAGTATATGTGCTGCCAAAGTGAGTACGACAGATGTTATTTCTAATACTATCATCATCATTACAATTATGTTTGAAGACAAACAGACTTTCTAAACCCTTATGTGTTGCTGGTGGGAGAGTATGATTTTACAAATACCTGGTAATTTGGCAATTTCTTAAAAAGTTTAACGTATGTTTGCTCTATGAACCACCAGTCTCGTTCTTTGGAATCTACATAAGAGACATAAAAACATATGTCCTCACAAATATGTGTTCAAGGGCTCAGAACAGCCTTAGCCTCAGTAGGCCAAAACTGAAAATCCAAATATCTTTCAACTAGTAAATGAATAAACAAAATTCTACTACATCCAGGCAAGGCAATATCATTCAACAATAAAAGCGGACAAAAGTAAACTTATCTGACAGGGGAGCTACCATGAACATCAGGGTAGTTTTCACAAGGCAAATTTCAACCCTTGCACTCTGGATGATGAGACATTACTTAGTGGGTACAATGCGTGTGATTGGAGTGATGGATACTGTGGAACACCGACTTCACCACTATGCAATCGATGCAAAAGAATAACAAAGTTACACTTGTACCTTATGTACTTAAATTTACACAAATGAAAAAAGACAAGAAGAAATGAAAACAAACAAAATAATGATACATACTGCAAAACTTGTGAACTTCAATAATGTTAACTAAGTGAAGGAAATTGGACATAAAGATTACGTGTTGTATGATTTCATTTACTTGAAATATCTAGAAAAGGTAAATTTATAGACACAAAAAGCAGATCATTGGGTGCAGAACCTTACTATAAATAGGGAAATTTTGGACATGACAGAAATGTTCTAAAACTGGATTGTTGTGATAATTGCACAAATCGATTAATTTACTCAAATCATTACATTTTACATATACAATGAGCGAATTTTGTAGTATGGAAATTATGCTTTAGTAAACCTGTTAAAATAATTCTTTTTTAAAAAGTAAGGCTTCGTAGGCAAGACAAAATCCAGAAGACACAAATGAAAAAATATTTGAAGAAAATTACTGGTTTCTTTGCATGAAGAAAATAATAAAATTAAAAGAAGTATATGACGCAGAGGAAAAATTTTGATCATGTAAGGCAGACAATGGCTAACTTTCTTATGAAAAATTGTTAACTAATCAATAAATAAATTCTTGGAAATGCCATAAATAATTGGGCAAAGGATATAGACTCACTATAGAAGAGAATATTCTCATAGTCGATAAATATAAATATTTGCTCAGACTCACCAATGAACAGAAAAATCCAAATTCAAACAGTAATGTAATAAACTATTTCTCCCACTCCAAAATTGGCAAGTATAATAGTTTGTTTTAAAATCAGGGATTTAGAAGATTCTAAGGGAATAGGCTGTCTCATATTATTAGGATTTTGAGTTATGGTAGTGTAGTAATATCTATTAAAACTCAAAATACAATTGTTACATGCTGATGAAAACAGCAAAAATCCCATTCTAAACATCTGTCTTAAAGAACAATCCTACATGAGCCCAAGGAGACATAAAATTGGTCTTTTGTTGAGCCACGATTTGGAATAACAAAAACATTTCCAAATTCAAAAAGAAAAAACTGATTAATTTGTCTCAATTATAAAAATTTTGTACATCCTAAAAACTATGCAGTATGTGAAGTGACAGCACACTGCAGGATGACATTTGGTGCTGTGTGGGGCACTGTGAGCATAGACTGGTGTAACCCTGTGAGTAGTTTGGATAATACACTATTTCCGCTCTAGGTTGTTACAGTCTCCATAAATTCTTCCTCATATGTCCATGATGACATATAAAAAATGTAACAGGGGAGAAAAGAAACATTCTCTACATTTAAATAGAAGAAAGGTAAACTGTGGAATACCCATAGAAAAGACTTCAAGTAAATTCAGGCCTTTAAGTAAATTATGTAGGACAATCAACATGGAGTAGAAAAAAATCATAAACCATAATGCCAGTTAGGAGGTGGAACATTACAAGAATTGTCACTGTTACTGTAAGAGCAAAAAGATACATAGACTAAACTAAATGGATAAACTGGAAAATAATCTTACTTTTAAAATTTTAACCAGTCATGCATCAAAAAGTATAAAAATTCCAAATTCCAGGGATGAACGAATTCCACTTAGG